GAGAGAGAGAGAGAGAGAGAGAGAGAGAGAGAGAGAGAGAGAGAGAGAGAGAGCCTGAAACGTGGCACTTTGCCCAATGAAGAAAGCCAATGAAATAGGGTGGAGGAGGAGAAAGGAGGAGGAGGAGAGAAGAAGACGAAGGGAGGAGGAGGAGGAGGAGGACTTGCCGGTTTCGTGATACCTCGACGAAAAAGGGAAAAAAAAAAAGGATGACGAAGGAGGAGGAGAGAGACACAGAGAGAGAGAGAGAGAGAGAGAGAGAGAGAGAGAGCCTGACAACGTGGCACTTCGCGCAACGGTACCATATCGACGACGACGGGGCAGCTTTCCGACGGCGGCCAGCGATGACGAGCTGGGAATCGGGCAGCGGCGACGGGCAGCGGCGGCGGGCAGTGACGACGGGCATCGACGACGGGCAGCTCGGCGAAGGCGGGCAGCGACGGCAACCTCTTCGGTGGGCAGCAGCGTGAACCGCCTCGGCGGGCAGCACGAACTCACGTTCGAATTCGAAGGCCGCCCGACCGAATGTGGAATCGGCGGAATAATTTGTGCAAGGGGGGGGGAGGCTCCCAAGCGTGAAAAAGCATCGAAAAAGGCCTCCCCGGCCCCGGTGCAAAAACGCGCTGGGCCCGCCCGGCGTCAAACCGGGGGACCCAACCGGCCGGAGGCTGGGCTGCCGGGCAACCCGGAGTTTAATGCAGAAATAATTTGGATAAGTTCTCGATCTATGCATGTCATTCTTGTGCAGGGGCCATGCTAATCTTCTGGGCACTGTTCCAATTTCAACAGAAATTTTCTATTCGGATTTCGAATGCAAAATGCAGTGTGCATAGATGTAAAATGCAGTGTGCATAGATGTAAAACTTACTTCTCGGTTGCAAGTTCTGCTCTGTCGCCAGTAGCCAATAGCACAGGAGTTGTGTGAGTCTGGAATCCAGTGATTGTGTTTGGACGCCCAGCTTGTCCAACCACATCTACTGCCTGGCCCACCCGCACCGCTACTTGTAGTGGCTTCAGTTCTTCGTCAACCGTAACCAGCATCCGTGGCTGCACACATAAATTCAGCAAACCAGCAAAGACAGAAATGCAACACCATCATTTGTCAAAACACGTAAGGCAAGCTGACATTATTTATTATATTACTTTTTTAAACCACCACTACCTTCGGGCCTGTTTTTGGCAACCATGCTTTTCACTGCGCACCGAGGTTTGCCAATCCTGGGGCCCCTTCTGGCTTTTTTTTTTGTTTGTTTGTTTTTTTTTTTGTTTTTTTTTTTTGGTAACTTCAGTAG